AATAATAAAATATATATAAATATATATTAATACGGCGGCACTGAAAATTTCGAGAATTAAGGAAGTGACAAAACATTACTATTTAAAAATGTATTCATTGATGGAATCAATCATTAAAGCAACCATTCCATTCGGAAGTTGGAGTCTCCAAAATGGCCGTTTTGTAGGCGTACAGCTTCTTCAGGTGATGAAAATCTCTGTCCACGCAATTTATTCTTTATTTTAGGGAAAGTATAGAAATCATTAGGGCTTAGGTCGGGGCTGTACGGCGGATGGTCTAATAATTCTATGTTTTCTTGCTCTAAAAACTCTTTTGTTCTGTGTGCGGTGTGAGAACTCGCATTGTCGTGATGGAGGATGATGCGGCGGTTGCAGTTCTCTTTACGGAGTTCAGAAACGACCTGTGACAAAAAATTCTAGCGTACCATTCTGCATTAACCGTTCTTTGTCCCTCAAGAGGAATAGTCGTAACATGGCCGGTTTTAGAGACAAACGTGGCCAGCATTTTTTTGCAACACTCCGTGAACGAACAATTTTTGTTGGCTTTAACTCATTTTCGAAGACTCAAACTCGTGACTGGTTTTTTGTTTCGGGTTCGTACGTTTATATCCAGGATTCGTCACCTAATACGATATAATATTATACAACATTTGAGGATCCTGCGTGGAATCTTTCGAGAGTTCTGATGCACCAAGTAAAGCGAGCCGCTTTTTGCTCTTCACAGAGCGAATGCGGTATCCATCGGGAAAACAACTTTTTTACACCTAATTTTTCATGCAAGATTATTTGTATTTGACTCATGCCAATGTCTAAAGTTGCCTCAATTTCGCGGTATGTCACATGCCGATCTTCCTCAATCAGCTTACGCACAGCATCAACGTTTTCTTGGGTGACTGCAGTTTTTGGACGACCTTGACGGGGATCATCACTCAGCTTGACATGTCCACGTTGAAATTCAGCAAACCAGCGATAAATTGCCGTTTTGGATGGGGCTTCGTCACCAAATGCAGAAATCATCCGGTTAACACACTGTTTTTGTGTTTAACCACTTCGAAAGTCATAATAAATCATCGCTCTTGAATTTTTTCGAGTCAATTCCATTTTCTCAACGACTAAACAAGTTTGATAAAACCTTGTGACAAGACTGAGAATCTTTTTTTTAAATAAATAAATGGTATTCGATTTTTAAAACCAAGGAGTTTTCAATTAAAAAGAATTTAATATGACAGGATCAGTGGAAATATTCAATTCCCGATACTTTTAGTGCAGCCTAGTATTACTCGTTTTACCCGCAAAAGGACAAAATTCTTAAAAGAGAAAACACTGCTTTGACCTATAAAGGTACGCCACAGAGTACTTAGAGTACGAGCCACAAACGAAGAGTATTTAACTACACTAACCATGGAGGTTAGAGAACAGGAGAACAATCGCTACGTGCTAAAGCATAGCCCGCCTGTCCTTGAAAATTTGTAAAATTTGTAGCCGGGTTGCCGGCGGTAAGTATCTTGTATCTGCGAAGTAATTTTTTAATTATTGACAAAAAGAATCAATAATAATTAATAATTTATAATAATTAAAATTATAAAAAACTTATCCTCTAAACAGTGTGACTAATGTTTCCGCCATTTTACGTATCTGTGATGCCGACCGTCGGCAAGCGCACAGACAGGGATATTATAAGCATATGTTTTTTTTTAAAGTTGGATTTCCTCGATTTTTTTAAAGGAATGCTGTACGCTTACAATTAAAATATTGGTTTTAATTACCTATTTTGTATATATCTTTACATATTTAGCATATTGGTAGTTATTTGCCATAGAAACATTACTACTTAATATGGGGTACAGAAAATTTTATTGTATTTCTTGATAATTTGTATAAAATAAAACAATAATTAAACTGAAACTAATTTTAATTAACACATTACATATCTAAGTTTACAATACAAACCAAAATTAACAAGGTCCTATACATTTTTTTCCACACAACACATGTTTACAAAGTTGATACAAAAAATACTTCCACTTAAAGTAAACAAAAAAGGGTCTCACATTTCTTGTTATCTAAAATGACCCTGAGCGAATGGGACAAAGACCTTTTGTTTGCAGCAACTTAAGCTTATAAGCTACAAATATAAATAAAAGAATCATGTTACATTCAATATAAATTTGAGTATGAGTGGAACAAAGATGGTATGTAATTTGACACCAAAATTAGTACCTCTAAAAACATGTCTATTTTGGATAATATCTACTTACAAATGGAAAAGAAATTATTGTTTCAAGATATACATTAAATTTAGTAATCAATTAAACAAAAAAAAACAAGTTGTTTCTAAGAAATATTTCAAACATCAAGCTCATGAAAGTAGTAAATATCTAAACATTTTAGCCTCATACATGCTAGCAAAGTGTGGATACGACTTGTCTTCAACAAGATAATGACTAGGTGATTTTTGTAACCCTCATTATTTTGAAACATTATAGTAAACATAACGGGTCTAATAATGACAATCACTTGGGATACTACTTAATATGACATAATTTTTAAATCATGCTTTGTTCACGAATCACAGCAAGAGGTAAAATGAACCGGCGGCTTGTAGGTTGAAGGTGAAGGTTTAGGCAGCATGTTGATACCCAAGCATGGTTGGTCATAATTTACCATTGTTCGATATGTACAAATATGTACAATATACACATAATATATGTATATATATGTACATGGCTACCGATCATGGACATATATATACATATGTTACAAAATGCCAAGGAAACGTACTGAAAATTAGGTTGAGCAACCCCCCCCCTTCATTGCGTCCCTAATTTTCGTACGATCCCTTATCAGTATAATGACGTTTGCAATTTGAATGAATGACACGGACCTAGGTTCCAACAATTTTATGATGAGCCAAAATTTCAAAAGACAAACATACATATTATAACTCGTTAGAAACAAATTTATCACAAAAACATAACCCTCTATCTGAGGCACTACATACATACATACGCACATACATACATACGCACATACATACATACATATACAAACTATAGTATATAAATGTGCAGCTTTTTGTTTTCCAAATTTCCCATTACGATTTGGATGGTAACACCTACCTACTTTAACCTTCCCATTAAAATAGCGGCATACCCTTTTTACTGAAAAGGAGGCATTCCATCTTAGTCCTCAGGGGTGACGATGTATCCACTTACCATCAGGTGGACTGTGTGCTCAAGTACAAGTGTTTTTCAGATAGACCTTCAATACTAGTGCCTAAATACCTTGTGTGTAAGACAGTGTTTTTGTGTAGTTTACTGTGAAGTGTGATATGACTCAAAGCAACCAAACACACACAGGGGTACGTTGCAGGCTTTGCAAAAGCTTGATGTTCGCTTTTTGCAAACTGAACAACTACGCCTCTGGTGCTCGTTCCGTGTTGTTCCCGGGAGCAGATCGTATTGCCCCGGAAAATGCCAGGTGTTCGGCAGTGCACGGGTAGGTGCTGGTGGTGTGTGTGCTGCCAACAATTCCCTCACCAAAGTTTGGCGAAAATTTCGGTGAGAAATTGAGCGGTGTGCCTTGTGGAGTATGTAGGCATTTAGAACACTAGCATTCAAGAGCTTCCTGAAAAACTTTTTGTACCAGATTTTGTTCCGCCTTCTTTCAATGGGGTACATGGCGAGCATCTGGTCTTTGCGATCAACCCCCCCCATACAGACATTATAGTCTGGTATGACGGTGGGCTTGTGTGTATCGCCGCACATCGCGGTTGCTAGCCCATGGTATGTCGAGACAAATGCCACACGGTTTTTGTCCCGGTATACGATGAGGTCCACATCCCCCGAAGTGCAACCGTTCACCTGACCTATCGCCATGTCTTTTTTCGTAAGATTCGTCAGCTCAATGGGAACAAACTGACGATTCGTTCGTAAGGTCCCCACGCAGTCAAACCCCCGAACTTTCAATTCTCGCGCAAGCGCGGGAGAATTGTAGAAATTATCCATCCAAATCGTGTGGCCCTTATGCTCAAGACCATTTAAAAGTCTGAGCACAAGAGCTGGCACTTTCCCAGAAACTGGACTGTCCTCTTGTGGGTCTGAGGAGGTATCATGGCCTGCGTGGACTTCAAAGCGCCACAAGTAACCAGTCTGGGACTCACACACCTCGTATGTTTTAATTCCTACTGTAGCTGCTTTGTTGCGGATGAATTGGTTAATATCTAACCAACCCTTCCACATGGTCAGACTTTCATCCACAGACACGTTTTGACCCAAAACATATAATTGTTGGAATTTGTTGTTAAGGTGATCCAAAATTGGCTGCACCTTAAACAACTTGGCCTGAGCCCGTGTCATCAGTTCAGGATCGCAACCGTCATTATCCTGAAAGTGGAGACATTTGCTCAACAGCATGAAGCGGTCATACGTCATCGCCGCAGTGAACCCCGGGGGTACTGAAAATGTCCAGCGTGCTGTTCCAGTACTCCTCGAGACGTGATTTCACCACAATCCCGGTAGCGAGGATTATAGCGAAATACACGTGCAATTCACTTACGTCGGTGTCTTTCCATTTGGTGATGCGGCTGCTCGGACAGAGCGAACCGTCCACCAGCATGACCGTTGCAAGCTGTTGTGCATATCGATTCGTCTCCATGGCAATGTGTTCCATTATATCGCGATCCCATATGGCAGTAAATGCGTCATATGGGCTCGCATATGGAACCGTGGGCCCACAGTTTATCTGGGAGAACGGTTCCCTCCTCAGCTCAGGAGGAGTTTGAGGTTGCGGGAACCCCCTCCATTTAAAATCAAATTTATTTCCTGGCTCCGACATGGGACAGGATGGGGACGAGGGAGTATGGGTAGGTAAGGAAGGCGGAACAGAATAATCAGGAACATGGGATGTGGAAGGAATGGGACCGGAAGAGTTAGGGACAGGTGGGTGATCATTGGATGTCGGAGGCCAGGAAAAAGAAATAAATGCGTCTACTTCCCCACCTTCACCCTCATCCTCCGATGCCGCGAACATTTGTACCACCCTGGGGACTATGGTGGATTGGAGTCCAATTTCTTCTTCGCCATCTTCTTCGGAGTCCTCGTCGCTGCCTGTAAAATATAAGATAAAATAACCACATTGGCCGACTGTAATAATTTACGTTTTTTTTAAAATAATCTGTTACATAAGTAGTAACTTAATACAGTCAATTATTCTAAAAATAATTGACTGTATTAAGTTACTACTTATGTAACAGAATCAGTAACATGAGAGCTGATGTTTATAGAACACAGTACGGGTTTTATTTGTATTTTTATTAGCAGCTAAAGCAAAACTATTTTCCCTTACCATAATTAAGGGCGTTGGATATTTCAATATCCCTTAGAGGACGCGACGAAGATGACGAGGAAGTAATTCTAAAAGAAGAAAATAAATTATTAAGAATCAAAATATTAAGTAGACACTTCTGCACATAGAATATATATTTATTAATAGGCACTCACAGACGCCGTTTAGCCCCCATGTCATTGTGGTCCGATCTGAAAAAATAATGTTGTTTTTTGATTTCTATCGTAATAGTTATATTCGAACAGTTAACAGTTCAAAGTCAAATACTATCAATATTTAATAAAGCAATAAAGGAAAAACTTACGCATTTCGCTTTCGGGACGTTGGAGTCCGATTAGGTGTGGAGGTTCCACTCCCTCCAACTTCAACGTGTCTGTAAAACATAAATAGTGTTAAAAATACGTTATTTTATGACCAGTTACGAAAAGTTTAGCTTCAAAATATGAATATAAGTAAAAACTTACAAAGCAGGTGAAGGAACTGAGCAAAGCTCCATATCAACTACTGCTGGTTGGGCCGCTGCAGCTCGGTCCTCCTGAGGGCTCAGCGGCTGGGTCGGGTGGTTGCCGGTGAGGAGGTCCATGGACGACCACAACGACACCGGCACGGGACTAAAAAAGAAAGTTAAATTCAATGCCCTGCACGTGAATCGAGTAACAAAACCAACTTCGAAGTGCTTACCCTCGCCTTGCGGCAGGCAGTACTCGAGGTCGCCGCTGAGTCAGCGGCCGCTCTAGAGGCCTCCCCACCGGCAACTCCCCCACCATGCCACAGTAAACTCTAAAATATTAATGCAGAATATTAATGTTGCTAAAAAAAAACGAAGAAACTTGTTAGTTGTTAAATTTGTTATTACGGATCAACAGCAGAAGGCCTTTCGGTGTGGCCAGCACCGCTAGTGGGCCCACCACGCGTCCGCGCACCACCAGTGTGCGCATGCGCCCCTTCACCACCAGTGTGCGCATGCGCCCCTTCACCACCAGTGTGCGCATGCGCCCCTTCACCACCAGCGTACGCACCACGCCCACGCCCACGGCCACGAGCACGACCACGTCCACCTCTTTAAAGAAAAAAGCAAAAACAAAAAGCAAAAACAAAAAGCATGCAAACCAAAGAGAAAATAAACACAAAAATGCAAGAGATACGCGAGACATGAATGCAAAAGGTGCCCTTAGAGCTAATTTAGTAATGTCCATGCGTAACTTTTTTAACTTACTATAAGACGTCTAGAAAATATGTAAATATTATTTTTGGAGAAATTTTTTGAAAAAAAAAATTGGTTGTCAAAGTTAAAAATAAAATTATTTATTTTTAAATTTATCATCGTGCAACAAACACTTTTTGTCCCAAACAATTTTGGGCTTGGACGCTCTTCAAATGCCTTTATCTCGGCCCAGGTTCGTCTAAGTCCAAAATTGTTCAGGAAAAAATTGTTTGTTTGGGTGCCCCCCCGACACGACGCAAACGAAGAAAAAAGAAAAAAGAAACAAAAATGCTGTATTTTTATCTTGGTACCTACTTGGTACTTCAAATACCTAAATATCTTTGCTCAGGTTCATCCAAGCCCAAAACTTTTTACGACAAAAAGTGTTAGTATATGCGCCCTCTACATGATGCAAACATAAAAAATAAAAAATTACGAAAATTCTGCTAAGTTTTTTTCGCTCCCATATTTTATATTTATTTATTTTATTTATTTAATATTCTTTATTGCACACCATACAAAGCATACAGAAATGACATACTACAAAAAAGTATGCAACTTCCACTATATCTCCACAGTAACTAAATGTTTATGCAATTAAAAGTGATGCAACATTACATGCAAAATATTTAAAAATAACTTCAAACAGAAAATACAAAAGCGTATCTATAATTTCTAGCATGCCCGACATGCCGCCGTTATGACGTCATCAACTGCCAAAACCCTGTCTGTGCCCCTGCCGACTGACGGTAAAGAAATAACCTTCACGTATTTAGACCCAAAATTAAAGTTTTCAAAGCGAAATACACGTTTACCATTGTCATCCATTGCAAATTAATTACATTAGTAGCTTAAATTCTCCAAAACATTACGGTTTTATTCACTTTTTAGACCAAATATTGCAGAAATAAAAGTACGTTCATAGTTCGTTAGACGGCTATGTCGTTGGTTTGGCCTGGTTTTTACAATTAAATTAGCAAAATTATATGTTTCCCAGTAATAAAAATGTGAAAGTACTTACCTTTCCATGGTTTCTCCTTCAAATCACAACAAATTTGCTTCAAGAAAACTTATCAAAGGCGTGACAAAACCGGAGTCGGTTGGTTTGACAGCGTCCAATTTGAAGTGCCGATATTTTTTTTTTACGGAGCAAAGAGTAACAGTAAAGCAGTTTGACACTGAGTATATATTATTAGTCTATGATTTCAAGTGTCGCACCTAAAAAACGCATCGTAGTTCCGTCGTAAAGAGCGCGAAAACATAAACAGGAAACGATGCCGACTGCTGGTCGGCTCACAGACGCGCAAATAATTTGACGTGCCGACTGCTGGTCGACGCACAGACAAGGGGATAATAATTTCGTTTTTTTTTCTTTGAATGATATTAAAATCATTTCAAACTAGCGCACAACAGCCCGCTTTTATTGAGACAACTTAGCGATCGCAGCGTCTCACTTATTTTGTCTATATTTCTGGGACACTATTTTCTACAGCGATTGTTCTCCTGTTCTCTAACCTCCATGATCCCAAACAACTACCGTAGACAGAGAAGCCTATAGACTAATGATTAGTGTGGCTTCGAGTGAGAAAGGACGATAACGTAGTTTTAGGTTATACAATAATCTTTATGACTTTTAAATATATTTAGATAAAAACTTTAATTGTTCTAAGAAGTGAACTGAACAAGATTCACCAATCTTAAGCTCACGAAACACTTTTTTCTCACTTAAACCAACTTGTAAACTCCTTAGATCGCTACGAACTGTCAAAGTTGTCTAGCAAAGTGAAGTTTGCTAAATAAAAAAAACCGTCACGGAGAAAGGGACAAACAATCACACCACTCTGTCTCATTTCTATGCAAGTCGTATGCATAAATCTATCTTTAACGTGTGCGAATACGAAAGAAGGTGTCAATATGTCTATAGGTTTCTCTGTCTACGATAACCACATTGTTTTAGCCATAGAGCCATGGAGGTTAGAGATAAGGCGAACGATCGCTGTAGAAAATAGTGTCCCAGAAACATGGACAAAATAAGTGTGGCACTGCGATCGCTAAGTTGTCTCAATAAAAGCGGGCTGTTGTGCGCTAATTTCAAATGATCTATCAACGTTTAGTATATGTGTATATAATATCATTCAAAGAAAAAAGAAGAAAATAACGAAATTTTTTTTTATCGGTAACTCCTCTTTATGGGGTGATATCTCTAAATCGGCCTTAACGGCAAGATGTTAAGGAAATTATTTAGTTACAAGGATAAATGTCTCCTCACAATGGCAGTTGTCCTCAAGATTACAGCTTTTTGAATTTTATCGAGCACAGCTCTTGCTAAGCCCAATTTTTCAAGGTTGCTACTTAGTTGTTTTGGTATAACACCCGTAGTTGAGAGGATAAGCGGAATTATAATTACCTCATTCTGCCGCCACATCTGCCTTACCTCTTCAGCAAGTGGTTGGTACTTTGAAATTTTTTCTGTGTGGTATTGTTGAATGTTGTGTGAGTTGGGAACACCAATGTCAATCAAATAAGTCCGCTTCACTTCTTTGTCAATCAGTACAATATCCGGCTGGTTGTGGGGAATTGATCAATCCGTCAAAATTGATCTGTCCCAGTAAACCTGTACTTTATCATTTTCTAATACATGACTCGGTTGGTATTTCTAGAGCTAGATGTTGTTGTTGGTCTCACTAGCCTCACGCACACTTAGTGCGAAGTAAACACTGCGAGCTCAATAACATCAAGTAAAAGGTGATCGTTTCGATGCAATTATCACACTGGAATGTCAATATACAAGATTTAAAACAGCGAATTCCTGGGTTCGGAGTATATCTTGCAACAACAAATATTTACACATATTACACATAAATATTCGGTCGATAAGAAAAAACTTTAATGAATTGCTAGTGTTTGTAAAAAAATGCTCTGAGGAGTTAGCATTACTAGTGGTGACAGAGGCAAACATTAACAACAATGAGCTATCACTATACCACATGGAGGGGTACAATCTATTTGCAAACACGAGGGAGACTAAAAGAGGAGGGGGTGTGATTATTTACGCTAAGGAGTATCTTAGTTTCAATGCACACAAAACCCTAACGAGTTCACTGGAAGGACTTTATGGTAAACTCACTGTTGACCACTCTATTCTTAATATAATTGCAGTCTACAGACCACCAAAAACGAATAGGTCGTTATTCGTTGATGAAATGGAGCAGATAATTATGAAGATCCCAGCGAGCGAGGATATTATCATATTAGGTGACGTCAACATAAACCTGTTAGGAGTGAGTGAAAATCAACTGGTGTCAAAATATAAGGACTGCCTGTGTGGATTAGGCCTACAGTGCGTAATACCGGTTACGGAGGTGACGCGAGAGGTTATCGTAGCAGGTTTAAGAGAAGCGTCGTGTATCGATCATGTTTGGGTGCGAGCAAGACAGCTGCGAGACTGCTACTCGTTCATCATTGAGTGCTCCATGTAGGATCATCATGTGGTGGGAATCACGGTGCCGTGTAAACATGTGACGCAACACTGCACCGACAGCGCGGACTCGGACAGTCGGTTTGTAATTAATAATAGGCTAGTAGCTAAGCAGATCACTGATTATGATTGGTCACAACTGTTGTTCATTGATTGTCCGTTAAAGTTGTATTGTAAGCTGCAAAATGCTTTCAATGATATTTATAAAAATAGTAAGACTGTAATGCCAAAGATTAAAAAACGGGACACACAACCGTGGATAAGCAGAGATTTAAATAAAATGATAATGCGTAGGGATAAGTTATTTAGGGATTGGAAAGAAACACCAAACAATAATACGAAAAGACTCGAATATACACGTTTTAGAAATAAGGTAAACAAATTAATTTTTAAAGCAAAAAATAGGTTTCGGCAGGTAGAAATCAAGAAATGTAATGGAGACACAAAAAAAAAATCTGGGACAAAATTAATAGCTGGACAGGTAGGAAGAAAGCAAATATAGATGATATAGTTAAAAGATATTTTGGAGATAAAAACACAATGTACAATATATGTAGTCAATTTGCAGATACATTTACGAACGAAATTATTGCTATTAAACATAATTGTAGTATTAAATTATTAGATAGAAGTAAATATGTTAAAAAAAGTGATGTAACGTTTCGCTTTAAACCAGCTACCAGTGACACAATGAGTAAAATTATCGATCAGCTGAGCTGTAGTAAGGCGCCAGGCACTGACTGCATTCGAGATATGGACCTAAAAATAATCAAGGATAGGATCTCGCCGGTCTTATCGCACTTTGTCAACCTGTGTTTATCGAAAGGGGAATATCCTAGCACACTCAAAAAAGCTTTAATCAGGCCCATCTACAAGCAGGGAGCGCACTCAGAGTATGCTAACTATAGACCGATTGCTATCTTATCGGTCATTAATAAAATAGTTGAGAAGATGGTAGTCGGCCAGGTCAGCGAATTCCTGGAGCAAAATAGCATATTAGCGGATGCACAGCACGGTTTTAGGAATGGTCATAGCACCACAACAGCACTATCACAGTTTTCCGAAGATATAAACAGTAGTCTGCACCAGGGCCATCAGGTCCTGGCGCTGTTCATAGACTTTAAAAAAGCCTTCGATACCTTGGATCATGAGATGCTGTTACAGGCCATGGATGAGTGTGGAATCAGGGGTCCAACAAATAGGTGGTTTCGGAGTTATCTGAGTGACAGAACATTACAAACCTGCATTTCTGGTGTTGCTGGTAAAGAAGCAGCGGTACAGCTTGGTGTTCCAACTGGTTCAGTCTATGGTCCCGTTGGCTACGTTGTGCATGTCAACAGCGTCAGTAATGTGGTTAAAAAATCTCGAGTATATATGTATGCGGATGACATGTGCCTTATATAGTCCTGTAAGAATATACAAGAGGTCAGGGCTGTGCTGCAGGCTGACTTCGATAATGTTACTCGTTGGGCTCATGACAATGGTATCATACTTAACCTTAATAAGACGAAAGTGATGCATCTGTACTCACCGCACAACTTAGTGGCAAAAGATGTCAAGAGCGTGGATATAGGTATTGTGGGCCACACGTTTGAATGTATAAAAATTTAAATTGTATTTGTCAAAAGCTGGAGTATGTAAGTAGATTTAAGTATCTAGGTCTGTGGGTGGACTATAATATGAATTGGAAAACACAGGTTGAAGCAGTGTGTACAAAGCTCATGGCAGTGTTAAGTAAGTTTTATATCCTGAATGCAGCGTTGAATAGGAAATCGTTGCGTGTCATTTATTTTGCTCTCGGCGAGTCATTACTAACTTATGGATTAAATACGTATGGCCGTACATTTAAAACCTATCTTAACAGTATAAAATCGTTACAAATCCGTTTTATAAAATACCTTGTCAAACCACAAACAAAAATTGCATGTAAAGACAATTATGAAAGACTTTTTGTTGCATGTAAAATGCTTCCTGTACATGAGAAGGTCAAGTACCTCCTGGTTCTTGAACAGTTCTATAACGACCAATTTAAAGAACAAGTGCAAAATAGATATAATACTAGAAGTGTTAGAGAGCGTAAACTCGTGCGACCACCAGTAAAAAATTACTATGGGAAAAGAACCAACAAATATTTGACCCCCACATTTTTAATGACCTTGATTGGCTGAGAGAGGATAATACTAGAATAAGTAAACAAACTAAACTATTCCGATGATATCCCGGACGTCAGTCTGAGCGAGATTAGAATGGCTCTCCACCACCTTAAAAACGGCAAGGCCCCGGGCGAGGATGGAATTACAGCGGAGCTTCTGAAAGCGGGTGGAAAACCGGTACTTGAAGTCCTTCGGAAGCTCTTCAATTCCGTCCTCCATGGTGGCACTACTCCGGAGGCGTGGAGCAGAAGCGCGGTGGTTTTGTTCTTTAAGAAAGGCGACAACGCTCTCTTGAAGAACTACAGACCGATTTCCCTTCTGAGCCGCGTCTACATGCTATTTTCGAGAGTCATTACGAATCGTCTCGCACGCAGACTCGACGACTTCCAGCCTCCCGA